AGGTTGAAATCTCATGAACACAGATTAGGTTAAAAAAATTATTCGAAGTATTAGAAACCAAATCCTACAAACCAAACAGAGGAATGGATTTCAAATCCAATCCAATCCAAATCCCATGGAATTCAAATCCCTCAAGGGAATCCAAATCCCTCAAAAACATTCCCGCAAACCAAACGCACCCTAAGTATTTTATTTGAATAAAGGCAACAGTGACACAGCAAAGAAAGTCGCTGTCACCGAAATCTAATATCCATAGTCAAGGGGACATGATTGCAGGTTCACGCACCTTTCCAATTTTCAATCCCAATTTACAATTCCCACTATAAACAATTTACTAATTAACTTCCCCTTCAATTCACATGTTTTTGTTTCTGTGCTTTCTCAACTTTTTATCATCTTCATATCTCTCATGTTTCAATGCATTTCACTTCTTCACGGATTTCCTCCTTCACCCTCCACAGGTGCGTCTCAATTTGCTACTCTTCTTCTAACTTCATTAAACTTACTTTTGATTCACTTTGCTTTCTGGGTTTTTGTTTAAACATATAATTTGGGGTTTATCTTTGGGTAACCCATCACCTACTTGTTCTTGATGGAAAATTTGGGATTTTATTTATTGGGTTATTCTGAAAAAATAAAGATGGCTTTGGGTTTTGAATTTGATGGAGAATACTTGAATTGTCATTAATCCATCCACCCATAAAAAGAGCTGCAGATTGACTGATTTTGATGTTGAACCTAGTGATCTTCAAAACCAAAATTGAACACCTATACACAGTTTGCAATGCTTCAATGCAGTCAGCAATCAAATTCTGCAATCCATATGAAATTTGAAGTCAGGAATCACTCTTTGATCTCAAGTCATATTGCAGTTTTTGCCTTTTGGACAGTGGGATTTGGTAACTTAGGAAAACACCTAATTTGTTGGTCTTTACAAAGCAAAGAAGTCTTTGTGAAGATGGGTCTCCTAGTCCTTTATATGTTGTTTAATAGTTTGGATCATACCATGATTAGTGTGTGTAGATAGTCCAATGACCCGTACACACATTGCCAATTGGTTATAGTTAAAGGCCATCTTAAGCTTACCGAATGATTGAGTTTGTAAGTTTACTTGGTTACCCTTTATAATGCTGGTAACTTGTATATATTATAGAAATTACATCATATAAAGCACTTAAGAACCTGTATTCATGTCAAATGCTATGTATTCATTGTCTATCTAGTTTGGGCTACCCATACTTTATGCCTTGGCTAATCATCTGTGTCTAGCTATGCTTAAGCTGTTACGTAATTGAGAAAGAAAAATGTAAGTACTCGGATGAAAGTGTTTCTTACACGAGTTTTCACTCCAAAACTCTATCATGATATATATACTTAATGATTTGTTATAGACTAAGGTAGTGACAAACTTTTGTGATGTTTTTTTCTTAGGTTTTATGTTGATTAAGGCTATGCTTGGCAAACTATGCCGATAAGTTAGCTGTTTGTTGATAAGCTAGCTGATAAACTATTCACTTTTGGTAAAACTAGCTCATAAGCTAGATGACAATGCAAAATGACCTAAAAGAATAATATAAGGGGGATTTATGTAAAATATAAGAGGCATAATTGGAAAAGAAAAAAAACCCAATAAGCCATCTAAAGTAGCTTTTCAAAGAGGTCATGGCTTATCAATAAGCTCAATAAATAAGGTAGCTCATGGTTGCCAAACAAGTCCAGTGGAATCCGATAGCAATCTTCATTGGGTTGTTAGATGTTCTTATTACATATTTATCTTAGATTTAGGCTCTATATTCGATGTTTTTGTTACATTTTTATCTTAGATTTGGGTTCTGTTACTAGTTACAAGAGGGGTTGTTTTGGTTTAATATGAGCTAGTTACTTGAATGTGTTAGATGAAGCTTCATTGTTTTAGCATTAACACGATCAAGGTTCTAAAAGGCGTAAGATGCATCTCTGCCATTACAAAAAGACCTATAGATTTTGTGGCGCCTTGCGGCGCGCATTTTTTATAAGGCAGAACATTTTTCATTTTTTTTGAAATTAATTTTTTTTTGTGTTTTTAGACTTTTAGCTTTAGATTTTACACTTAATAAATTTACCTAATCACATCACTCACAGATTCATGGATTCACACACATAACATAATCACAATTAAAACAAAGTTGTAAAACCCTTCAGGTTCTATTTGAATATTTGATCACAAACTTTTTGTCCAATACTAATATATATGAATTTTCTTCTAATATGAACATGAATTTTTAATATAATTATTTCATTGAATAACAAATAGAAAACATATATGTATATTTATAATTTATATATATGACAAATGAATTTACTGCCTTATGTCACACCTTGAAAAACGCCTGTCCTCATCGTGGCATTTAAGGGTTGAGGCTTGACCTCGCCACCATGGCATGCCTCATGCCATTTAGAACCTTAACCACGATGCCTAATTGCATGATTATGACCTAGGAAGCATGGAACGGGTATGTATATTAGGTGCGATACCTATTGGATGTATGCGCTATGACATTTTTCAAATAATGATATCTTGGTGTTGCATTGTGAGTAATAGATAATGGCGAAATAGGTTAACAAAGAAACATCATCAAACAATTAAAGGAAGTCTCTAAACTCCACATCAACCAAAGTACTTGATAAACTCTATTGGGATGACATGTAGAAATATTGGAAAAAATAACTATGCAGGGAACGTGATAGATGCAAAGTAGGAATTCACTGGTTAAACAGGGGTAAACCATAGAGAACAGCTCTGGTGTCTTCATATTCATATTAAAAGTGATCCAAAAGATATTTTTTACATCAAGAAGGCATGACCTTATATCCAGCTCACTTAAGAACCTTCTAGACTACACTAACTGATTTAATATAGGAACCAATACTAACACTACAGGTGGCAACATTTTATTGAAATAGCTAATATTAGGTAAACTATGTCTTATTAATACCCTCCTCATCAGATTATCCTTGACCTCAAGGATAACGGAGAGCCCACATCAGACTCTAAAAAATGTTGTCTTCCAAGAGTGCAGCTTTCTTGATCCAAGTTGCTCCCTTGTTCTCATGCTTCCAATGTTGTTCTGTTTACCTTCTTCCCCATTATCTTCATTAATCACCTCCCAGCCATGTACTCCTTTGTATTTTCTAGACCAATCAACATGTACAACTTGTTGTCTCTACACTTGTGACAGAACATATCTTTCATTACAGAAAAACATCGATTATTCTTTCTTTTTTCTTCATATTCACTCCTTGACAATTGCTTCAAAGGGGTGTGTTGATCCTCCCTCTCATTGATTTGATGATAATTCTATAGCAACAACGATACTTCAAGAAGACAAAAACAATCTTGCATGGCAAGCTTCATTTGATCGCTGAATGCTAGAATAACACTAGAGGTCTCTTCAACATTCACTGAGGCTTGTGTAGTTTTCACACATATGTTGACAAGGTTGTAATCACTGAATACCGCTTCGGATCACGAACGCGCCAGTCACTAATCTTCAGTTTCAGTCTTCGACATTCACTGAAGGTTCTTTGGTGTGAGTTTTGTCTTCTTGAAGTGTTGCTGTCGCTGTAGGATTTACAGTGCGTGTTTCAACGATCACTGTACAGACTCAGTGATGATCGCTGGAACTGAAAAGAAAGAAACACTAATACTTTGAAAGGTAAAAGGGATTATCATCAAATCAATAAGCGAGAGGATCAACAATCTCCCCATATTTGATGATGACAAAGCAACATAAAGAAAATTGCTTTAAGGTTTAATAATAAGGAAAAATTACATATAAAGTACATGTCCTTTTAACTATTTTGGGATTTTTTTTAGTGAATCAGTTTTTACTTTATAAGTTTTCTTAAGTTACAAGTTTAAGAAAAAGTACAAGGGAAACTGAAACTAAAAGCATGTTCAGTGACTAGAGATTGTCAGTGACTGTAAGAGCATACTGGAAATCATATACATGTGTCCCTATTACTCTTTTCAGGGATCTTTTTCAGTGATGCTGATGAAATACTTATATTAATCAAAGGAAAATTACAAGTGTTTCAGTCAGTACATTTCTAGAGTTATTACATATAAGTTGTACACCGAAAGAAAAGACATAGATAAATAAGACATACAATGAAAGATAAATTTACAAGACATAATTTCATAACTAATCTAGGTCGCTGAAGTCGATATAACCAGGTACTTCTTCTCCAAGCATCTTTCGACGTAGAAATTTTCTTCTGATCTTGCGGTCTATCATTTCACCATATAAATCATTGTCCACCCAATATCTTAGATAGGCAAGATGTTCCATAAGACAAAGATTAAACTCAGACACTCTCTGGAAGATGTGTTCGCCTTCATAGTCAAGAAAAATAAATCCAAACTCAGGCTTTAGATGCATAGTGTTGGGTATGTAAGGACCCTTTGCTGGCAAAGAGAGGTTCAACATTGAGATGCCTGGCTTCTTCGAATCTTTCAGGACTTCGTCCAAGGAGAACTTTGTTTCATGTTCATTCCTCAAAGTTGGTTCGTCGTTAGGACTTGAAGGTCTTCTTCTTCCACCTTTCTTCAGTGACGGCTTTGTAGGTACAACGACGAATTTAGACATCTTCTTGATCAACTCGCTGAGGATGTCTTCAATTATCGGCTTGTGCTTTGACTTTGAGCGCTGAATGGCTTGGCAGATCCCCAGCCATTCACTGTAGCCGTACTGACCTAGGTAGGAATGATACTTTGTGACAGTTTCAAGGTTGTCTCTAGTGATGAGCATTGAGACGAGAAGTCCACCATCTTTCATCCATCCACTGATTGTGACGTTTGAGATACGGTGAGGACTTATTCTCTTGTTCAGACGATCTTCGCTCCACTTTTTGTCTCTGTCGTTCAGCTTCATTGCCTTCTCATTTTCAGCTTCTGCAATGGAAAGCAACTTAGCTTGGGCCTAGACAACATTCACCATCTTTTTAAATTTTTTCTTTGGAAGAACTTGAGCAGCAAGAGACTTGGCCAGCTTTATGTTATCTCATCTTCTCTGGAATCCTTGGACAACTAAGGCCAAACTCCATGGGTGTGGAACCAATATTTGCTTCTTCCATCTTGAAATGCTTTAAAACATCTAAGGCATACTTTTTTTGAGAGATTGCAATCCCTTTGCTGCTTTGTTTTACTTCAAAACCGAGAAAGTAATGAAAATATCCCATGTTCATCATTTCAAATTCTGACTTCATTGAGTGCTTAAATTCTTCTATTAAGGTTGGGATATATCCGACAAAGATCAGCTCGTCCACATACAAACAAACGAACATAAACTAACCTTTGCAATCTTTGATAAAAAGTGTTTGTTTGTATGGACATTTATTGAAACCATGCTTCTCAAAATAATTGTCTATGCGACTATACCAAGCACGGGGTGCTTGTTTTAGTCCATACAACGCCTTCTTT